GCAAAAAGTGTGACCGCTCTCGGGCAGTGTCCTTCTTGTCCCCGTGGCTGGCCTGTCGGCGCGGAGAGCGTGCCCCCCGCCGTGCTCAGCGGCCGCACCGTAGGACTCGAGCGGGCCCGCACGGCATCCTCGGCCCGCTCGCCTCGCCCAGCCAGCGAGCGCTGGAGCCACCGCCTCCCGCAGGCTCCCCAGGGGCTTGCAGTCGGAGGAGGCAAAGGCACCCATAAAATTGCCGCTGCCCTCTCTCGTTGTCCTCCTCGGAGGCCCTCGTCGCCACCGCTGGAGTCGCCTCGAAGCTCTGGCCAGAACGCGCCGGGAGAGGTCAGGGGAGAAGCAGCACGGGTGCCTCTTGGTTTCCCCACGCAGTGCGCCGGCGGCGGCAGGGCTCCCGGAGGCCCGTCGGGCCGCGAGATCACTGCGGCCCCTCGAGGGGGCCCGGAGGTGCCCGCGCAAGCGCGATGGCGGGCCGCTCGGCCCCTTTTTTGGGGTGGCTCTCTCCGTGTGGGGGCTCCGCGGGCCCCTTCGGAGGGCTGCGGAGCTGCGGGGTCCCTGGGGCTTTCTCCTTCTGTCGGCCGCCTCTGCCTCTGCTCGGGGGCGTTCGGCGTGCTCGACCACGAGAGCACGGCTACAGCGGCGGCGGCGGATGACGGCGGCGACGACGGCTGCTATGCCCTGGTTCCTCCGCCCCGCAGCGCTGGCGCTTACGGGCCGCGTGCTGTATGGAACCAGATGCTGTACTCGCGCGTGTCACCCTCGCCTTGCTCTCCTTCTCTGCCAGCAGATGATGATGGCGGTGAAGATGCCAGTGAGGATGATTGTCGTGGTGGTGACGATGGTGATGATTGTGATGGTGATCTGTGGTGATGATGGTGATGGTGGTGACGGCGGCGGCGGTGGTGCCGATGGTAATGGTTGGTGTTGTGATGATGACGGTGGATAGTGGCGATAACGATGATGCTGATGACGACGACGACAATGATGATGTAGAAGAGCATGAGGAGGCTCCTCCTCCTTCTCCTCCTCCTCCTCCTCCTCCTCCCTACCCTTTCTCCTCTTGCAGCGGGTCCCATTCGTTCATTCCTCTTCCTCCCTGCCCTTCTCCTCCTCCTCCTCCTCCTCCTCCTCCTCCTCCTCCTCCTCTCCTCCTCCTCCTCCTCCTCCTCCCTCCTCCTCCTCCTCTCTCCTCCTCCTCCTCCTCCTCCTCCTCCTCCTTCCCTCCCTTCCCTCTTCTTTCCCCCCCCGCCGCCCTCTTCCTCGCCTCCGCCCCCTTCCCCCCGCCCCCTCCTCGCCCCCATCCTGTAGCCTCTTCTCCTGCTCCCCCCCCCCCTCGGCCCCCCTGCACCCTGCCCGCCGCGGTGGCGCCCTGGCGCGCTCGCCAGGTCGCGCACCCGCCGTGCAGGGGCACGGCGACGACACCCTTCGCTTCTTCAAGCTCAGGGGCTGCTGAGAATTCGGAGAGGCGCGGCGGGGCACCCGGCGAGGCGGGCGATTTCGGGAGGAGCGCTGGTTGGCGGGGGTAGGGTTCGGCTGTCGCCACCTCCCTCCTCCCTCCTCCCTCCTCCTCCCTCCTCCCTCCTCCCTCCTCCTCCTCCTCCCTCCTCCCTCCTCCCTCCTCCCTACCCGCGCATGACACCGTGTGCTGAGCGTGGCGAAGGGACCGATACAGGCCCGGCGGCGCGCGGGGGGGTCAGACGGCGCCCTCGTGGAGCGAGGGGGGCCAGGGAGCGTCGGCGCGCCGAGGAGGCGTGTCGTGGACCAGGAAGCGATCGAGGGAGAGGGACGCAGCACCCATGCTGATCGCTAGGGAGACCAGGGTCCGCACACGCCCCCGTCTGGGGAGGAGAAGCCAGACGAGCCAGGACTGCGGCCGGCTCTGGGGCAGAGGGGCCGAGCGACCGGGGACGTTCTGCCAGGCAGGTCGCGCTCCCGACCGCGTCGTGTGCATCTCGGGGGTGGGAAGCACAGAGTGCGCCTGAGTGTCGGGCGCACCTGGCTGAGAGCGATATCGGGCAGCAGCAGTCGAGGCCAGCAACATATGTACACGTACGCGGTTAGCTTCCCCTTGAGTGCGTGTCAACGAGGACGTTCGTGCAGGCAAGACCGCGGAGGGCGTACATGTACATATGTCGTTGCTCGCCCAAAAGGGGGCAGAGGAGAAGAGATAGACCGTTACCGATGCCATTCAATTGTTTTCGCTTCTTCACTGCCTCGTGAGGGGCCCTCGTTCCGCGCGGCTGGAGTTGCCTCGGAGCCCAGGTCAGCACGCGCCCCAGGAGGCGTCCAGGGAGCGTCGGCATCGGTATCGCCTCGTCCCCGCCACAAGGGGGGGTTGGGCGGAAGCGAGGGAGGAGGGAGCGAGGAGGGGAGGACTGGGGATGCAAGAGGAGGGATGGGGGAGAACGAGAAGGGGGGAAATGTGGGGGGGAGGGGGAGGGAGGAGCGGGGAGGCGAGATGAGGGGAGGGGAGGGAGGGGGGCTCAGACGGGAGGGTGGGGGCGAGGGATGGGCGCAGCAAAGCGGGGCGGCCGGCCCGGGCGGGATGATCATACCAGGGGAGGGAGAAGCGGGAGGGGATGATGAGGAAGAGAAGGAGGAGGAGGAGGAGGAGGAGGAGGAGGAGGAGGAGGAGGAGGAGGAGGAGGAGGAGCAGGAGGAGGAGAGAAGGTGCAGGAAGTGGGGCAGCAGCGGCCGCGGCCGGGGGGAGGTGCGGAGCGCGTGAGCGGGGCGACCACGGCTCCCCGGGATGGCCCTGAGCTGGAGACCCCGGTAGCCGGCCGAGGCTACGGCGGGGGGAGAAGACAAGGCGCGAGCTCCCCCCTCTGTCCCTCCGCCCCTCCCCTCCTGCCTCACTTCTCCCTCCCCCCTCTTCCCCCCTTCCCATCTTTTCACTTCCCCGCCCCCTTCCCGCCCGTGCTCATGCTCGCTGTCCCCTCCTCCTCCTGTTCTTCCACCCCCCCCATCAAAAGCTTGGCCATGCTGGAGCTAATCCGTAATTGCCCCGTGCATGCTTGACGCCCGTCGCGTGGTTAGGTAACCCGCCACCGTGCCTGGGTTGTGAGGCTGAGGCCCCGCCGTGCCCCGCCACCGTGCCTGGGTTGTGAGGCTGAGGCCAATCGGGTGGTTGATGGGTCTCGAAGGAGGCCCCTCGGGAGCGTCCTGGAAGCAGTTTTTGGACCTCTTGGGGCCTCATGGGGGCCTCGTGGGTTTTTTTTGGGGCCCCCTCGGGATTCTCTGGGGGCTTCTTTGGGCAACTTGGGGGCGTCTTGAAGGGGCCGAAGGCTCGAAATGTCCGTTCGGGCTCCCCCGCTGGGCCCCAGTTGAACGCCGTTCTGGGGCCCTTCTGGGGCGTCTTGGGGGTTTATTGGGCCGTCTGGGGCCCTCTTGGACCGTCTTGGGGGCCCCTTGGGGCCCTCTCGGCCTGTTGTGAGGCGCTCCGTTCCCCCTTGCCGCGTTCAACCGGGGGTCGTGCCGGGCCCGGGAGGGGGGTCAAAATCAAGGTTTGGGGTCCCTAGGGGGGGGGATTATGGGGGGGAGCGATCTCGCGCGCCTAGAGACCCACAAGGGGTCGGCGGATATTGTTTTGGTCTTGGCCAGCGTTCCAAGTTTCCTTGTGGGTTTCCTCCCCTTTCCACATGATCTCCCCTTCTGCCTCTTCTCAGGAGGGAAAGAAACACACAGACACAATTAATCGTCGAGCGCCAGGAAAATATGGGAAAATATGGGAATTGGGCGGGGAGACAAAAATCCAGAAAATATGGGAAAATATGGGGAATCTTTTTATTTGTGTGTATTTATTTGTGTGTTCCAGTTCCCCTTCATCTTCCTCTCCCTTTCCCTGCTCCCTCGTAGCCTGACCTCCCCTCTCCTCTGCTTTTTTTTCCTCTATGGCCCCTTCTTCTCTGTCTTCGCCTCCCTCCGTTGCTCCATCGTGCCCTTTGCCTGGTAGCTCCGCATCAGGCGGCCTGGACTGATGCGCCTTCTGTTCGGGCGAAGAGAACTATGCACATGCACCGATTCTGGCAAGGCCCATCCTTGACCCAGGATCGGTGCATATGCCTTCCTGGCCAAGGTAGGAGGGCGTATGCACCGATCCTGGGCTCAGGATGGGCCTGGCCAGAATCGGTGCATGTGCATACTTCTTTTTCCTCTATCTGTGAATTCTGCTTGACATGGTCAGACTTGTTTCAGTCTTAGTGCATAGCCGCAGGATGGAGCCACTATGTGTTGACCGGAAGACATTCTGGTGTGCGAGCCCAAGCCTCAGGATGCAGCCGAAGGAGGCAAACATTTTGTTGCCAGAAGTTTGTTCGATGTCGGCGGCATTCGTCTCAAGCAGCGAGTTCAGCCCAGCCAGTTGGGGTGGCCCAAGCCAGCCCAAGTCAGCCGCACTGCCGCCCCCCCAGTTAGCCAGCCAGCCCACCCGGCCCAGCTGGGCCAGACCGGCCTTGCCAACCCAGTGATCGATAGTGATGCTGCCACTTGCTTGCCACCACTTCGTGCATTCCATCGGCGCAGCCAACAGCGCATGTAGTAATCATCGATCGCAAACTTGCGGGGCCACGCGCGCGACGTAGAACAACGGGTGTCGAACGCGCGGACGTTCGCGCGCAAGCTGCCCGCTGAAGGCCGCGAGCAGGCGCCCCCTTCTCCACGCAGCGTGCCGCGCTGGAGGCCCGCGTAGGGTGCCGCGTATAGCCGCCATGCCATCGCGCATGGGGTCCTCAGTCTTCGGTCGGACGAGGGAGGGGGGGGAGCGGCAGAAGGGGGTGTTACAGCATCTGCTGCATGCAGCTGGCTTCGGCCCCGCCGCCGAGCGCCTGTTACGATGCGTTGGCGAATCTGGCGCTCGAAGCAGTTACGTGAGCTGATCCGCGAGCCCCTTCCTTTGCTGTCCCCCCCTCCGTCCGACCAGATTGATGTTCTCTTGTCGCTCGTTGCCGCCACTGCTTGCCATGAGGATCCTTGTCCTCCTCGCGCTTGATCGCTGTTACTGGCGTGCCAGCCTCAATGAGCCACGCCCGCCCAGCCCCGACCGCCATGGTGTAGCCCCGCGGCCAGGTGCAATTTGCAGGACGCGCCCGCCGTCTGACGTCGCTAGTATTTACTCCTCCCGAGAGCTTTTCCATTCTTCCTCTCTCCTCGCTCTCGCTCCTCTCTCCTCGCTCCACGCTCATCCTGCTCTCACCACTGTTCCCCTTCTCCTCCTTCTGCTCCTCTCTCCTCGCCCACTCTCCTTGT